AAATAAATAAAACAAATCATTTTCTTGACTTAATTTAATTTCTGGAATAGTTTTAAATGTATCATGATAACATTATTTTCCATCTTATGATTTAGCCTCGGAATGCTGCTCGCATCAGTGAAAAGAGAAAAGAATATATGGATGCCTGTGGTGAGGCCAACAATCAGAGCTTCCAGCAGCGCTACCATGCAGAAGAAGTCGAAGAAAGATTTGGGAGATTCAAGCCAGGAGTTATTAGGTATGTTTCTTTACCATACCAAACTCACTACCTTCGACTCCCTTCTGACTCATAGCAATCCTATAGGACAGTAGAACTGCCTTTGTGAGCCTACAGGGGTTTACATGTTGGGCTGCTAACTGCAAGGACAGCAGTTCCAAACCATCAGCCTCTCCACAGAAGAGAGGGCTTTCTGCTCCCATAAAGAGTTATGTCTCAGAAACTCACAGTGGCATTTCTCCCCTGCCCTTACAGGGTCCGTGTGAGTAGGAATCGACTGAATGGCACTGAATTTAGATTTCTGTATGTCTGTTTAGCTGTGTGTCTTTATGCCATAGAGAAAGGTGCTTCACAAAGTTCATGGATGGTTGCAAGTAAAAGTTAAATTTCCCCATGAACTTTTGGAAGCCTCTTTGTGTTATGTAATGTAAGACTTAGGAATCTTTTAAAGTAACAAATTTTTTTTCCAAATAAAAATAGAGTATTTTACTTCCTCTTTTCTTTTAACCTAGTGAGGAACTTCAAGATGCGCTAGGTGTGACGGACAAAAGTCTACCACCTTTTATATATCGAATGCGTCAGCTTGGCTACCCACCAGGTTGGCTCAAAGAGGCCGAATTGGAAAATTCTGGGCTTGCACTCTATGATGGAAAAGGTTAAGTGTTGCCTTCTCTTCCCTGCCTTCTCCCCCTTTTTTTTTCTTTTTGTTAATTCATAGTCAGTCAGAATGTAATGGGAATGTCTGGCTTGCTTAATGTATGCTGAGTTAACTTAAATGTAGCAAAAGTCAGCAATAAACAAGAGTGCCACCAGTGGTCATCTGGACTTGCTCGGGGCTCCGAAGCCACATCAGAGAGCCTCCAGCTGGTCCTCAGACGAGGCTCTTACCTTTCTCAGTACCGGCAGCAGGCATACCTTGTCTTAGCACAGTTCACAGACACTGCCTCTTTTACTGATTGAAAGTATGTGGGCATCATCATCATCCACGTTTATTGATGCCGTTTTCCAACCTTGGGCCCGTGCTTCATGTCTATTGTCGCATTTTGGTCATTCTCCCATTAACTCTAGCTTTTTCATAATGCGATGTAAGTATAACTTCTAAGCCCTGGAACATAGAAAAACTCATATGACTCACTTTGTTGTGATGATCTGGAATCCCATCTCTCCTAGATCTGCCTGTCTGTTTTAGTGCCCTGAGTGCTGTGCACTTTAAGACTATATAAACCCTTAATTCTAGAACTCTTGCTTTTCGTATCTACCCTAAATCTGTGTGCTCACTCACTATGAGAGTAAAAAAAATTAGAAGGAACTGAAAAACCCCTGATGGAAAATGGCTATTTAAACTGTGGCAGGTCTGGGCTGCAGACCCCTTATAGCATTACCAAAGAGAGTAGGAAAAATTCTCTGTGATAAGACATGGCAAAATTTCTGGACTACTGAACGAGAAAGGACAAGTTTCTGAAAAGCTTATGTATGATTCCATTGGTCTTTCTTTAAGAGGGGCAAAGAAACCTACACGTTCATGGAAAAACAAAATGTAAAGCTCAGAGATTATGTCCATGAACTTTTTTGAAGCCATCTTTCGCTCACACATTCTCTCTGAGGACTTGAATATGGAAACAGTATGTATAGGCCCAACAGTGGTTGCCACTAAGAAAGGGAATGAGCATGTGGTGAAGAACTTTAGTTTTAGCTTTAAAGCTGTCAGTGTTTTTTAAATGAGAATGTGTCTGTGGATCACATTGATCATCAAAATGTTTTAAATGTCAAAACCAAATGTTTTCCCAGTCCCACCCTCTCCTACAAATAGCACCAAAGAGATGCTTGGCAACGACATCCTCTAAATGCATCCCGAAGTTGTCTGTCATTCAGAGTGTCCCAGACTGCTATCTAACGGTTGTCACCCTTTGGATGATCTCGAATAGATGAACCTGATGGAGAAGCAGAAGCTGGTGAACTGCAACAGAATAAAAGTGTCACTTATGATCTCTCCAAATTGGTAAACTACCCAGGTTTTAATATATCTACTCCCAGAGGAATTCCAGATGTAAGTACTCTGTGTGTGTGTGTGTGTGTGTGTGTGTGTGTGTGTGTGTGTTCTGGGATGTGTTCTTTTGTTAAAGATTTTCAGAATGTTAGCTTATGCAGCAGTTACTGTGACATAAAGAAGTAGATACAAAAGTAGGCAGTAAACCCACGTGCTCAAATGGTGAGATTTACCTTAATTTTGTTCTTGTTGCATTTTCATAGGTTTATAATTATAAAACTAAGGCAGGAGGAGCTAATGTTTTACAATGTGGGGTGAATATAAAATGATAACCAATGGGAGGAATGTTATGTACTGTCTCTGCAACTTTCCAGTAAATATGAATGCTATTGCACAATAAAAGTGGGGCATTTTAAAGTCTGGGGTGGTTCTGAGGCAGAGTTATAAATTTTAAGAATTACTCTGTTAGTCTGGGTAGACTAGAGAAACACATCCATAGAAACTCATGTATAAGAGAGAATTTTATATAAAGGGCAATTATATGTTAAGAAAGCATTCCAACCCAGTCCAGTCCAAGTCCATAAGTCCGATATTAGCCCATATGTCCTATACCAATCTATAAAGTCCTCTTCAGACTCACGAAACACAGGCAATAACACAATGCAGGAAGCTCACAGGCGGTAGAAGCATCTCGGTGCTGGCAGGGGTCTCCATGTGGCTCGTCCAGTTCCCAGGGCTGCATCAGGGTAGGTCAGGTTCATGTGGCTTCTCAGGGATGTCTCGCAGGAAGTGAGCAGAGAGAGAGAGGAGAAGTCTTCTGCCTTCAAGGAAGAAAAACCAGATTTCCCAGAATCCTCAGGAGAAAGCCATGCCCACACAGGCATCATTGGCTATGATTTGATTGACAGGCTAGACTCCACCCCTTCACTTTTAATCCTCTCAAGTCCCAAATTGACACCAGGTTATGTAACTACCACAATTACTTAGGAAGTAAACGTATACTAGAGTTCATTCCCTACTTTTTTCCCCCTCAAAGTAAACCGTTCCGTTCTCTACAGAAAAACTCTCAGGGGAGTGGAGAGTTATTTTGGGGTCTGTGTTTTTAGGAAGACAGCTTAGAAAAGAAGCCCAAAATCTGAATTTAGCATTCAGTGAAGAAATATAAAGTACAGTAACTCTTACAAGAATACAAGACATTTATTAAAGGCTAAAGCTTTCTGCTTCTACAAGTGGGTCCCAGGAGCAGCCAGGCCTCAGGATACTCACCTGAAATAATTGTTCTTAAGCCCCACCCATAGACATAACTGACCCAGAGCCCTGAATTCTGTAACAAGAGAACCATTGTTAAATGTGCTGTTAGAACTGAGAGAAATTAATATTACTGGTCTTAAAGGTTAGTACTCAATTTGGAAAGGGAACAGAGAGGATGTTCTGGCTCAGTAAATGGGTAAGCAGAAATGAGCAGTGAACTGTCAACAGCACAAATGTATGATGGGAGTGAGACTGGAGCCAGGGAGGGCCCCCCAAAAGCCTTCGCTCTTAACTGCCATGAACTTGTATGTAGCAGGGAGAAGCTTCCTGGTCCACGTGACTGTAGTTGGTCTTCATAACCAGGTCAGCTAGGATTCCTTCCCTTCATAGCACCACTTCTTTACTTAACTCCTTAAAAAGGAGCCCCATATTTTGAGCTGAATCTCAAAGCCTTACATCTTAAGATGCCAACCTGTGTCTTTGTGTCACCATCAGGAATGGAGGATGTTTGGCTCCATACCCATGCAGGCATCTCAGCAGAAGGACGTGTTTGCCAACTACCTGACTTCTAACTTCCAAGTGGTAAATCAGTTTTCAGAGTGGTTTAGAGTAAGGCTGCTGCTTCATCTTTTTGGGAAAATTTCACCCATGTTGTGTATACACAGGCTTTAGTGTTCTCTGGTGACTCAAAGTTTTCTGTAGCGTATTTAAGCTCGTGGGATGGAGTCTCATCATTGTCTCCCCCCATCTAATTCGAGTTTGGTGTGGTCCCTCCATTTAGCCCAGTGTGCGGTCGAGCAGTAAGAGGTCCTCGTCTCAGTCAAGCCCGTGTAGCCCAAAGAAGCAGAAGAAGAACAGCAGCTCCGAAGCATCTCCCGCCAGCATGGAGCTCGACTCTGGTAGCCTCTTCTCCACCCTGGTATTTTTTAACCATTGAGAAGGCAGGACGGATTTGCATGCTCCCTCGTTCCATAAAGCAGCCCTGTGGTGGCATAATAGGTGATGCATGGGGCTGCTGACTGAAATGTCAGCAGGTTAAAGCACCACCACCAACCCCCAGCTGCTGCAGGGGGAGAAAGAGGAGGCAGTCTGTGACTGTCAGGGTCGACAGCCTCGGAAACCCTGGAGAGCAGTTTGACTCTGTCCTGTGAGGTCACAGTGAGTCAGAATTGTGGTTGTTTGTTTGTTTGTTGTTGTTTTTAGTTCCATAATAACGTTATGAAAAAGTTTTTCCTTTTCATAAGTAAGTACTTTTGAAATACTGAGCTGAGTAACTACTGGGCTTTGATTTCTTTGTGATGATTAGATTGGTGATCACTCAGGCTCAAACTGAACCCAGATACACAGCCTGGTTTGAAAGTACAAAGGGGTATCCCTGGCAATGCCCAGTCTAGATGGGCGCCTCCGATGGGGCACTGTTGTGAGATGGTGAGCAGAGCCGCTGCAGTCTGTCCCACTTACTCTTATTTTATTAATTCAACAAATCTTACCTCCTCCCCAAAGAAGGGAGGCCAGGAGGAAGCCCATCTTCCTGAAACCCCTGTGCGGGGCAGAAAAGAGTCCCCTCATAAGACTCCCTTGGCTGTTCTCTTCACTCATGGCTTATCAGGGAACTTGTAGTCAACCCGAGTTGGGGTGCTGCTTTTTAGCCAGTCAGTGCAGTCCTTTTCCTACCTTTTTGAAGTTCCCCAATATCAGCCACTGCTGCTTTGAGTTTCCTTCTCACAAACCTGTAGGTGTAGTGTTTTAGTTTGGAAATGTGTACTGTAGCTACCTGAGCTTTTTTTTTTTTTTTAACCTTCTTATGTTACACATGTTTTGTGATAGCCTGTGTAAATGAAGTGAGTAAGCTCTTCTGTTATCATTTACTAAAACATAATATGCATCTGCTATAAAAAAAAATCATCACCTCTACATCCTCTGCCATCCTGCCAGCTGGCACTTTTTGTTGTGGTCATTAATACTAATGTTCTCACTACCTCACTGTAGACATTTCAGTCATCTTCAGCTCTACCCACCTGTATATCTCTTCCCTCCATTTCTAGCCAGTCACCAAATCCTAACCATTTCAGTAAATGCCACTCTTTTCATTTCGGTAAATGCCATTCTTTTACCTGGTAGCTCCTGTGAATTTATAACTAGTTTTGGTTTTGGGGTCCTTTTGTGTCCATCCTTTCTCTTCATTTATTCTTTGCTTTTCAGAGGGACTCCCCAAAATCTTACTGACATTATAATACTCTCCTCACACACTCTTGGCTACATAGTAGTACTGGGTCTGCATAGCCTGTGAGGTTCTGTTACCTAGTTCCATTTTCTACGTTTCAAAACCTGGGCTATGTTTCTGATCTCTGGATGCGGCATCCTGAGGTGAACCAGACACAGCTCGTACCTTTGGCGGATTGTTCTCTTGCTGTAGGATGACAGAGGCGTACGCTTCACTTGAATGCGGTGTGATGGCTGCTGTGGTCTAAATATACAATGAGCAGCCTTGAGATGATTGCCGAACGTAAGGGTTGCACACAGGGACTTAGTGCCTTACTCTCAGGTGAACATGTGGGCCAAGGGTGAACCCAGGTTTCTGCCGGGTAGATGAGTAAGGTTGGGACGTATGAGAGGGGAGATGCAAATGCAGTAGCATGAAAGCTCACATCAGGCACAAGCGGAGTTAATTAACCTCTAGAGTTTACATCACTCAGTAAGATGGCATAGAGGAACTAGACCACACCCACTGCTGTCGATGGTGGTTCAGAGCAAGCGACTCTGTAGCATAGAGAAGGCCTGTCCCCATAGAGTTTCCAAGGCTGTAAACCTTCACAGGAGCAGACTGGCGCCTCTTCATCTTGCCAAGCAGCTGGTGAGTTTGCATCACCAACCTTTCTGTTAGCTGAGTGTCAACCATTGCTTCACCAGGGCTATGTAAATGAAAGATGGAGTTCTTGGTCCTGAGAGGAAGAAAGTGCCTCCGTTTACCCTAATGCCATGTTTGACCTAATTGCCAGTGGGGAGGGGGCCTTCCTGTCACCAATAACCTGGACCACAGTGTTGGTTCCTTGGGCTGCAGAATGAAAACGCCAATACCCTCCATTGCTGTTGAGTGGATTCCAGGGAGACTCATGGGAACCCTACAGGACAATAGAACTGCCCCACTGAGTTTCCAAAACTAATCTTCTAGAGTCAGACTGCCATACCCTTTGCCATGGGGCAGCTGGAGGGTGTGACGTTAGCAGCTGTTAACCTGGTTGAAGTTAACTCTTGTGCCACCAGGAAGTGCTGTTAGGTGAGAAGCTTCCTAGGATCAGACTTGTGCCTTACAAAGACTCATCTGGCCGTAGTCAGAGGGCAGAGACCATAGCACCTGAGAAAGCTAGAGCTGAAATCTGTCAGAGAAGGCAAACCCAAACATTTTAGAGTAAAACGATCATAGGAAAATGGTCAAGACTATCAGGCAGAAACTTTGTGAGACCAGGAAAAAATGCATTCCCCGCCAGTTCTGGTGCTCACCAACTTCACTGCGCAAGGAAAGTCAATTAGGAGGCAGGAACAACATTGTGATTGTGGTTGTGTGCAGTTCTGTGGGCCCAGAGCCAGGGTCAGGGTGTAGAGTGGTGGGGAGCAGGGGTAGTTGAACTTCACGCACTGCTGGTCTCTGGCAACCGACAGCGCTGCACATGGGAAGAGCATCAGGGATGAAAACCAGGTTTTAGGAAAAGAAGCTTTGTTTTGGATGGGTTGATCTGTTGTGTGGTGGTGGTGATGGCAGTGCATCTGGGTCTGACCCCACAGCTCAGGAGAGGCATTTATTTAGACTTGGGGTTCACTAGGCGGGAATGTCTGTCTGTTCACCCTCATTCCCTTCACCCTCCCTGTACTCAGTCATGGAGCCAGCCTGAGTTTCCAGGCACAGTTCCCACTCTAGTTGCCCCAAAACTGACTCTGCACTCATCATACCTCATTCTTCCCTACACACGCACGCACGCACGCACCACCACCACCACCCACCACACACCCCCACTGCTAATGTCAGACGCAGCACAGAAATGGATTTCCCAGTGTTTGCCTGATGTCCCTAGCACCAGAAGATGCTAATCTGACAAGATGTGCCAGTTATGAGGAGATGAAGGGCTACGCATGGTAGCTGAGTCTCCGTAGTGTTCCCCAGCTGGAGCCGTAGAGTCTGTGGGCTCCCTTTGTTTAGTTCATATAAGAAAAACCAAAACCGAAGGGATCGGGTGTAAGGCATCATCAGAACAAAAAATCTTACCATAGTGAATGATGGGG